AAGAATTTGAAGATGTTGAGCCAGATTTCCCACTGCCTCGTACCTTGACAGAAAAAAATAGGTGTAAAATTCTATGTGTATGCATCAAAGTTTTACACCCGCTTTACACAAGTGGCAAACCAAAGGAGAATCTGATATGCTTTGTATTAATGTTCTAGAAATAAGGGCATTAAAGAAATCTGAAAGCTCAAGTGGATAAAAAGAGTAGAACTTTCATTTGATTAGTGTGGCAGGTAGCCAAAGAGAGGTAAATTCACCTTAACTGTGGTTTCTTTATTCAAAACAGAGGATTAAAATGGCTTATAAACTAAGTAAGTGGAATATAGATTGGTCCCAGAGAAACACTAGGGTTCAATTCAATTCAATTCCCACATTCTCCATATTAATGGAAGCTGATGCAAAATTGGGTATTGTGAGCACCCCTCGTACACACAGTGCCTTCGACTGCCACTAGCACCACCTCGTAAGATTGGATCTTAAGAAACCTTTTCTCTTGGTACTCACTGAAATCAATGCCAGTTTTGACATGATCTTAGTGTATAAAGTGACACTATAAAGGAAATCTGAACCAGGAAATCAAACAAAAATACCTTTGTCCTCACAACTGTTTTTCAGTTAAAAAATAATAGTTATCTAAATCAACACAGAAGTGATCTGATGGTAGAAAAATCTATTTTCGATATCTGTACAGCATGAAACCAGAACTTGTCACTAGCAAGAAAAACATTAAGTGTAATGTCAATGAATCAAAAAGATCAGTTCCCACAGATCTCTAGTAGAAATTCTGGAGAAAATTTTACAGAGACAAATTATATTTTGATTCTGGTATGTCAGTGTGTCATTCAGTTGCTACCATTCTACAAACTGTTCAGCAAACTGCTGCCTCTAAAATCAAGTAACATTTTGCACCTCATAAAAAATTTTCCCAAATTGCTGTGACTATAAACTGGATGGGTTATTTTTTTAACTGTAGTATTTAGGAAGTGACAGCTATAAATACTCTCCCTTTTGAAGCAGGCTGTAGTACATATGGAGGCACTGGAATTTAAAATCCATGACAGCTCATCTATTTTGTGAAATACTATTCTAATTTTGAATTTTTCTACATGATTATGAAAAAATAGGAGGTAAAAAATAGGAGATAACACACTGGTACGGGTCAGGCAAAGGCAGTGCTGTTGGTGGATTACCCTGCAGACCTGCGATGCTGCAAAAAGCTGGCAGGGGAGAGGTGAGAGCAGATACAGTGAGGAAGGGTGGGAAAGAGCATGGAGCAGAGGTGATCTGGCAGTGCTGCCTCTCCCCATGCCAGCTCTAAGGGTCATGCACTGTACTCATCACCTTTTGCCCCTGGTAACTCCCAGGGAAGAGATAAAAATATCATAAAGTCAGTATCAGTTTGCTCTGGAGTTCAGGGGAAGCAGTAGTTCACTCCATGGGACTCTGCATGTGTGGCATCCCACAGAAGGAGACCTAGTGTTTTTAATATGGGTCTCTGGGGGCTATTAGAAAAGAATGAAACAATGATGGTGATTAATGACCAGAATGCTGTTGATAGATGCTAATGCTTCATAGTAAAAAGGATCATGACAACCCACAGTACAAAAAAACCTCTCCAGGACTAGAAGTCCTGTACAAAACTAGAATTCCTATTTAGAAGAGATGAAGCTGATCATAAATTTGACTGTAGTCACGTTTCCTGCCTTGTTTTGATATTGTACACATTAACAAATAGAGTGGAATATCCCCAATCCTCTTTATTTTCTTGCATTTTACTAGAAAACAGAAATTAGTTGTTCAACACTAGACTTACTTAGTTAGACAGAAATGAGAAAGTGCCAAGTGTTTTTTCTACCGTGTCAATAATGAATTGAAGGGATCAATGACTATCCCTTTGTACATGAACTTTTCTGTTTCTTGTAGTACTAGTTGTATCAAAATATAACCAGGGAGTGGGCACTATTTCATCCTGCTACCCTTCATCCTTCACTAGTGTTATAACATAATTTGCTATGATATTATGGCTTACTTATCAAACTACAGGAAAAATGACATCCGAACATACAGCATAGTGAAAGAAGCCCTGTACTGTTAGTTCATTTATACAAATAGCAAAAAGACTGTTCTTTTTCTTCAGTCTGCTTATATTTACAAAATGTTGGCTGTAATTTCTCAACTATTATTTAAGATAGAAGATCATTTTGCTTAAAAGTTAGTCAAGGAATATTTCTACATCTTTTGGGAATAATCTTTCTATTTTACAAGGTCAAGACCTAACTAAGAGAATCAATGGTGAACTTAGGGTTTCCTTTAAAGTCTCTAAAAGTAATTTTCATAGTACAATGACAAATACTAACAATACACACTATAAAAAATGACAATGCAGCTTTAAGCTAAGACCGAATGCTTGGTGATACTGTTCAGCGGTAACAGGTACTCAAGCGCTGTACTGATATCAGTAGAAGCTACAGGTAATATTTGTCTCCTCTGACAAATGGAGTAAAAATGCATTTTCTTGTATTTGTGGGAGCATGTTCCTGAGTACAGAAATTTCCGGACTTAATTAAAATCCATTTCAAATGCTATGATGTAAACATGTCTTAGTCTAAACTCTGATAGTAATTTGACAAAATTGAGTTTCAGAATGAAGATTTATCACAAAATAGGAGTTTTGAAACGGAGGCTTCAAAAATTGTTGGCCTTTTGCATTTTAATGCTAAGATTGTATCACTGTTGTTAGCAGAAATGAGAGATACACCTACCAAAAAACCTGCTCATTAATTAGACTTGTGTGAGAAGCAGAACAGCCAGTTTCAAGTGCTGGCTTTGAACGAGTAAGTCTCTAATAATGTACCCTTGGACTGACTGGTACACCTACCTGCCTTTCCTGCTGTTGTCACTAGTTCTTTCCTGCTGGGTTGAGAAACCTTCTAGCCACAGATCTCACTAAAATCCACATCTCCACTGAAAGGTTGTCACATACAGCGTGTTCCAAGCCTATCCCTTCCAATGCTGACTGGGTGTAGACATCTACAGGGAATATATTGATCGAGAACCTCTCTTATGCTTCTCTAAGTGTAATCATGCTTTAAATATTCTGCCTATGTACAGATGGCTTTCAAAGACTTAAAAATCCAATTGGATTATTTCAAGGGTAGCTGCAGGCAACACAATGTAAGGTTGTAATTAAAATGTGGTTTTATGGCATTTGCACAATTACCACATGGGATTTAGTTTTAGCACTTTTATGTTTATACACATTCAGTTGAATGCATTTAATTCTCAGTTAGGTCTACAAGATAGTTGTGAATTAATTTTTAACTTGTCACAAAATTATTTTTAAAATGTTGTTATGAGCATAATATTTTTAGCTTGATTGTACAATTAGTTTGTACTAGATAGGAAAGTCCTCAGGACATGCAGAGTGTAGTAGTTTGATGTGTTATTCTGGACAATCTTAGGCAAAATGTGCCTTAATTAACCATCAAGTAGGTATACCTGCATGTTCGATATTAGAAAAGAGAGTTTGCCCAGCATATTTCTTTATTATTTAAATTTTACTGAAACAGTAATCAAACTGGTCTATTTAAATCATCTATAGCAGCAGTCATGTGATGTCATCTGGAAGCCAGTCAATGGCTCTCAGTTAATTCCCTCCTCACTTTCCAGTCCCACTGCCCTAGGTTAGACTTGAAAATCAAGTCCTAGAATGACTGTCCACAGAGGCCATTAAAATACTTACTTGTTTGGGGGTTTTTTTTGTGACCTTCTTGTAGCTTGAACTTCTTGTGTAAGGTTTTGGCCTCACATCTTTTTTATCTTTTCACTCATATGAAAAGCTTCCTGAAAGAAATAAGTTTCCTCTAGGTAAGAATTGAGACCTTAACAGGTCTAAATTGTTTTCAGGTGTTAGTCTGGGACTTGGATCCAACCTTATGATTTGAAGCCAAAACTTCAGACTAGAAAAATAAAAATCAAAGTATGGCTGCTTGAACTAAGTCAGGACATAGTGTACAACATTCCTGGCTCAGTTCTGAATGTGGATGTAAAAATCTAAAAATGAGACCCAATTCTAACAATTCTGAATGTGTATTTTTTTTTAACAGGGAGTGTGTCTTGGGGTAGGAGGGGGTGGGAGGAAAAAAAAGAATCAGAGCACTAATTGTGTAAAACTGACCTCTTACTGTTCAAAAAGAATTAAATGTGCTGCTGTGAAACATGTACACACCTATATAAAGATAACAAGCTACTTTATGTACACTTAAATCTCAGCCTCAACAAAATGAATTTTCATGAGTCTGGACTGAAATGGTTCAAATTATGTTAATGAATTTTCAGTTACTAAGCTTGATTTGTGAAGTGACAAAATAGGCAATCCTTTAAGCAGTTCTGTCCTGCATGTCAATCTATAGATGTATTTTATTATTCTCTAATCAAACTTTATGTTGTTCTCTCATGAAACAACTTCTTTATAAAAAGGGGGTGTAAACATGTTACACATATCCAAAACACTACAGTAAGAAGAGATCTGAAGTTGAAAAAGATTTCCCAACGCTTGCATTTATGTCTATGTTCCACGTATAGCATGACACAGACACAGATTTGTGTTGATTAGGATTTACATTAATAAGGAATGCAGAGAAAGAGTCGTCCCTCCAACATACACCATTGATATATTTTTCCTTGTTATTTTAAAATAAATCTGTGATGAAATAATTAAAAAATGCCTTTTATCGCAGCTTTCATTTTAAATTCATTATGCCTTGTAACTACCAATTGTTCAAGGCTCACAAATAGAGCATTGAAACATTTCCTTTTCATGAATGAAGTTCTGTCCAGCCTGCAAACAGGGACGTCATTTCAAGAAAATGCACAGAAGTGCAGGGGAAGATCAGGGACTGCAAATGAAAACAGAGCTTAAAAAAGGACAGCTTTGTTTACTTGACCAAAATAGAGTAGGTAGCAGAACTAGTTTTTAAATTCAGACTGGAAGCAATTTTACTATTTAGAAAAAGAGAAAACCTTTCTCCTGCTAAGATCATAAAAATCAGCTTTAGATACTCGTAAAAGATGTTTTTGTAAAGGCTTTTCATTATTAATAGTTCTCCTAACTCACAGAGCCACACAGCAGTGCTTACCAAGGTAACCTCTCCTCTGGTACAATAACTTTCACCAATGATGTGCTTCTTCCTTAAAGGAAGGCGGAGTTAGGAGTTAGTGTCAGGGCCATAAATAAGAGGGTCCTATGTCAGGGAAATTAGAAGTCAGTTAACATGAGGGTGTACTCGGAGTGAGCATTAGAGGGCTTTCCTAAACCATCCACGTCTGCTGAATTTGAACTGCACGCGGAAGAAATCAGCGAGCCCTTAGGAGGCTGAGACACAAACCCGCCCGTAAGAACGCACTTTCTCCTGCCTGGCCGACTCGCCGTGCTGAAGGCAACATGCCTGCTGTTCCCAGGACCCTGCTGCTGTCCGCGCTCCTGCTGCTGAGCCCGCGCCCCGAGGAGCTGGCGGAGGGGTGCAGCTGTGCCCCCGCGCACCCGCAGCAGCTCATCTGCGACTCGGCTCTAGGTGAGTGCCAGCCGCCGCGCTTCCACCGCGCCCGCGGGGAGAGCACGCAGGCACTCCCGCGGCTCTGCACTGGGGGGTGTACAGCTCTAGAGGAACGTCTTTGACCAGGTGGCTTCGTCTCTGCAAGGATTTTGAAACGGAATGCCTGCAGAGATCCCTTTGAAAGAGAGGGCTATGGGAAAAAGTGGTACTAGCTGTTCTGCTTTTCTTGTTTTTCCAGGACATTTTGTGGTTACAAAGTGTTGAAATTGCTGTGCTATTTAATGGCTTGGAGTTGGTGGATTTTTTGTGTGTGTGTTTTGTTTTGTTTTGTTTTGTTTTTTTTTTTTTTTTTTTTTTTTTTTTTTTTTTTTAATAGAAATGGCTTCTCTGTTAGGTCCTAACTTAGAGTAAGCAGGGAAGAATACCTGAACTTTCAAATGGCTACTCTTAACAGTATCTCTAACAGAATATTCTATCTAAATATGTCTGCTATGTGTAAACTGTGCATATAGATATTTTTAATAGCACTTTGGGGGGAAAAAAAGAAGACATTTGCTCCCCCCACCAGTCCCCCCAGTCCCCAGTGATAACATATTGAAACACTTGATCATTGTTCTGCTAGACTGCAATTTCTTTAATTTGTGGTTGGGTTTTGTGTCATTTTCGAAAAATACTTGAGCAGAAAACTGATAGGCCCTTTATTTTCTGCAGATAAACTAGCTACAGTAGTTCTGTATAAATATAACTTTCCAGGCTTTAGGACAATTGTGTTTCATGATACTCAGTCAGCGCTGTGGTTGTCAAACAACTTATAGAAAGAAACTAAAGATCTCAAAATTAGACTGCATGGGGATAAGAAAATGTGACATTTTGCAGTCTTTTGATTTCATTAGCTCAAGCTAAGGCTGGTTAGCTTCCATCTAGTGTGAACAGTAAATGTAGAACATGAGTTTCCAAAGTGTCACAAAATTAGCATCTCTATGGGGCAGGGAATACCTTCTGCATACTGATTAATTGCTTTCATACCCTGACAGAAAATCTTTGTAGCCATGACAAACTCTAAGCTCTGTTTGTGGCCATCAGTTAAATTGTTTTTAATCTGCTCATGTTAAGCAATCTTTTTCATTAAGTTACCTACACCAGGCATTACAAACTTGGGGTTAAGGTGTGAAAGAAAATAGAAGTTGTGTTACCAGAAGCTTAACTATACATGTATACATTTAACTGTGTTAGCCTGCTGCATTCCTATACATAAGAAAATGACAGTTTTTCAACAGACTTAATGTAGAGATTTTCCTAAGTAAACAATTTCACAATATAGAGGAAACTCAAAATACTCATTATGAGCCATTTTCCTTAGGGAAGCCATTCTGGCCATTCTTATGATATATATTTAGATTTATCCCAGTCTTAGATACATTTTACAAATGATAGCTATATATATATGTTACATTTTATTTAAGTACTGAAGATTGTAAAATAAAACTATATTTGGACTTAATGCTCAAGCTCTCACTTCTATAAATATTCCTACTTAAGTAAATGGCATCTTTTGGCTAAGGAATGTTTATATCACGGATCCCTTTGTTTAATATCCATCATTTAAAAATAGCATTTCTATATGTTATAAAGTGATAGAGACATGTAGATATTCCTTCATGTAAATATGTGTATACATATATTTTTATATACATTTGCATATATGTACAGATAAAACCTGCTCTGAACATTGATGGATGAATTATTTGATTTGCTTTGGCCACAATATCTTGCATAAGCAGAGCAAAATTATTTTAAAAGAGCTGGAGAAGACCAGTGGAGTTGTCTGCCCTGTGTAAAAGAAACCCCCACTAACCAGTTTGGCAAAGACAGCTCGTCCATTCCTGATGCCAGAAGACTTCTTTTCTTTCCCAGCGTGTCTAGGCGAAGGTGGTGGGCTGGGTCTGCCCTGGGGAAGGGGGCAGCCCCCGGCTGGAGTGCTGGACACAGCCCCATCCCTGAGACCGAGGGCTGTGCCTCCTCAGTTTGCTGAGTTTTAAGCAAGGCGGGTGTGAAGCCACACCTGTGTCCTTACGGCCACTCGGTTCTTAGGAGGGACTGTGGAACCCAGGCCATGCAGTAGCATACCTCAAACTTCTCCTGTTAATACCATCATACGTAAAGATTTTTTTTTAAAGAAGATTAAAGATTAAATTGAAGAACTGTACTTCAATTTCAACACTGTCATGCTTTCAAAATATTGATAAACAAAGGAAGGAATAGCTCTTCAGCTACTAAAATCTATGGGAGATGAATACTAATCCAACTATTTGCTGAGACTACTCAATTTTTTCAGTTATATTTATGTTCATCCATCTCTGTACCCACAAACACATTCAAGTATTTCCTTGCAGAATAAAAACCTGGCACATCCCATTAAAAAAAAAAACCCCAACCATAACACGCCTCTAAATTCCACAGTAAAGTAAAAACTGAGACAAAGTCTCAGTCTTGCTCATAGAGCTACTGACCATTATATGTACCTCAGTTACTGCATTATTTCTCAGTATCACTATATAGCTGTAACATTTTAAATTTCCTTTAGGATCACTTGTGATTTGGGTGGAGTGAAAATGGAGGTGGAGGGGGTTAGACATTACTTGAGCCACTAACTGAATGTGTGAAGCTACTCAGATACCTTAGCATTTATATGAGATACCCAAGAAAAACAAGCAGAGAGATTAAGTAAGTCTCGGACAAGCTCTTTTCACTTTTACTTTTGTTCCCATGATTAGTGGTGTGACACTTGGTCTTCTACTGTCAGGAGGCTTCGTGGGAGGCTTCGTGGCTTTACTCTCTTTCTAAATGCCCACAGCTACCACACAACCTGAGTAGCTTGATAGAAATCACAGGCTTTCTTACAGACTTAGAGAGCTTCTGGTCCTGCAAGGTGCTGGCCAAACCTAATATAAGGAAAGAGTGAGGAGCCCTGCAGGTGCTACACGGTTGTAGACTGCAGGAAGAGCAGTAACGATGAGGAGTGAATCACGAGTGCCATGCCATTCCTGCCGTTTATCTGACCTTGGGTTTGTTAGTTGACCTGCCCAGATTAGCCTTAAGAGGGTGTAATTATGTACCAATTTGAGCAGTTTCATGAACTTCTCAGTCGGTTTAAATTTCACTTCAAAGAGAGGTAAATCCCCATTTGTAGGAAGTGCCTCGCACCATGAAGATACATAACTAAAAAAAAAAAGGGGGATACATTCCTCTTGTGTTCTTCCAATGGTGCTGAGGCCCTCCTAAAGGGGAGTGCCTTCAAACCCCAAGGAACACCTACACTTCTCAAGAGGACTTTCACTGGAAATGGAGGTGGGAGGTGTATTAAATAGCAATTCCATGCACTGCAATGCTGGTTGTCAGTGCTGAGCCCCACCCCCCGGAAGAATCCAGGAGGCTGCCTCTTCGCAGAAATCAAAAGTGATGAGGATGTGCTGTTTTACATTTCAAATTCAGCAGCCAGGCACCATAGTTTCAAGCCAATACAAGAAAATTCCTCTGATAATGACTTTTTTTGGAGAGAACCACGGATGCAATTGAGTTTATCAGATAGTGTCAAGATAACAGATTTCCCTTTTGCCTTTCAGTCTTCCTGGACTCAAGTCTAAACCTATGTTTCCATCAGGTTAGACAATCTGTATATGTGGAGAGAACGGATTCCTTTCTAAAGTTTGCCACTTTTAATTGGTTTTTGCCACTTAGGCATAAGCAAGGTTATATTTTGGACAGTAGAACAAATATGTAAATACTTTGCATTTCTGAGTTATGTAACACGAGTATGCTACCTTTAAAGTTAGATGTGTTCCTTCTGATTATAACTGTCTTACTGTTGTTTTTCTTAAACATCTATCAGAAATGCTATTTTTACTGAATATTGGGCACCACACTCCAACAGAAATTACTAACAGATCTTGAGTACAAATAAATTTATAATATAGCTTCAGAGAATAGTTCTATAGCTTTGGAGAAGAGTGGCACATTTCAAAATATGATGGAAGCTTTACAGCTGGAGCTTGGCAGAATTTTCAGCCTGTTAAAAATCTCATAAGATCACTGAGATCAGGCATTGTAAAGACGTGCCAGATGATACATTAAATTTTAATCACATTTTAAAAAAACAGTAAAAATTTTATTTAAATATACCAGAATTAAATTTTCAAAGTCAGCTCCTCTGGGATAAAATTACAATATACTATTTCTTTATTATTCAATTTCATATTAAAACTTTCATGGCTCAGTGTCCCATGATTTTGCCTCTCTGCAATATAATATCTAGTTTTGTACTGGAATGGATTAATTTGTACATTATTAAAGTGGGAAGTAACTTTGCCTGATGGGAAAAATCAGCATTGGAAAATGTATTAGAAATGCAGACAGTACTTCTTCCAAGTTAGGGGAGAAAAGGTGAACAGTCAAATTAAAATAGACTTTCTATTTTATTCTTACTATATTACGTTATACACAGTCACCACATTCTTAATCTCACAGAGTCTACTTGCTGTGAGCAGTGTGATTATGCAGATACTGAGTACCCGCGTGTTTCGGTTGATGAGCACCTTCAGTGTGGGGTTTGATACAAAATTAAGCAGCTACGTAACTAAACTTTGTGTGTTTGGGAAGAGTACAGTGTTCATACAAGCAGTAAGAACCACACTGTGTAACAAAAGACCATTAAAGACAGGGACGCAACAGACATTAGTCTTTCTTGAGGGATTCAAGAGTCTCCCGTAAAAAAAATCCCAACCCTTGAAGCTGTTGTTTGAGGGAACGGGCAAACGGCCTCGCTGTGGGTGGCTGTTGGCAGACCCTGGCAGGATCCTGGGTCACAGGCCATGCCTTCAGGCACCCCACTGACAGACATGGGGTCACACAGTTCATATTCTGGAGTTGCCTACAGTCTTGTAGACATCTCCTCCATGGCAGGGAAAAATTATAGTACTTGGCATATGATCTACACTTGTATTATTGTCCGGCCAGACAGA